ATCTGTATCTGTATCTGTATCTATATTTGTATCTGTATCTGTATCGGTATCTGTACCCAACATCTCGTTCTTCAATCGGACTTCCTGCTTCCCTCAAATTAACTGTTTCGTTTCTCTTCCACCCAATCTTGTCCATTGTCCCTCTAAGCTATTCATGAATTCAAATAATATCTAGCGTTAGGAATTAGTCTCAATTATATCAATGGTATCGCCTAGTCGCACACACGCGACAATTTACTGTGTACAGATTCAGTGTAGCTAAGATCGAAGGGACGGCCCCGGGCGGTGGCCTGGGGGTGCTTGATTGGGGCCCCAGTTTATTGAAGACGGGCGCTGGGACTTGAAGGCGGATCGTAGGGTCGTGTGACTTGGATGTGATTGCGGACTCATTCGCTTTTGATTTGATTTCATTAGCAATGCTCAAGTGCTTGTGCATGAATGCGCATATTTCAGCGCGCATTGATAAGTGCCGATTGGGGGCTACAAAGGAGCTGGCGACGAGCACCCAGTTTGACAATTAATTAAACCCATGTTTTTAATGAATTTTTAAAGAACGCAATCGGAATATTATTTATATCGAAGTAATTGAACGACTTACTAAATGACTAAACTAAATTTTCCATTTACCGCTCTACTAAACGATCCTCATAAATGTAATCTTATCTTCAATTTCAGTTTGGCATTTTAACGATCGAAATTTCAGAGAGAGTAGCTCAACATAAAGTGCTAGGATTCCATATACAGGAATTGAATGATTGATTGACATGACAGGCCAAAGTAGCCCAAATAGCACCAAGATAGGCGCATATTTTCAATAGCGCCCCCTTCTGCGATTTTCAAATTTTAATGAAATTCATATTTAATCTTATCTTTCCCTCAAATTCCCGTATAAATTCATGTTTTATATAAATTTGATGGCCGCCTGTCGTTGCTGGTTCAATTTGCTGCCGGATATTGCAAAATAGTAATCGATGCTTTATATTATAGATCCCTGACACCTCGATAAGAGGCCTGCCTGCTGGCCAGAGTGCAGCTGACAGGTCCGGTACGTACTGTCCATATGCATATAAGCTAAATATGTACATATATATATTTATATATACTCAAGTATTATACAAGCATTATAATTCTGACGCGCATGGGGTCGATAATCAGCAAGTGATTGCGAAGAAATTGACTTACTATATGGAAATTGAGTTTGAAGAAGCTTCTAATGAAGCAGGTTTCTTCTTTCATCTAAGAGGTCTACATAGCATTCTGAGTATTACAAAGGATCCTAATAAGTTGATTTGGAAATGGGGAAATAATATATATATATAATAATATTTCGTTTGCACATACAAAACTGATGTCAAAACCTTAAAGCACAGATAAAAGATCTTTCAGGCTAAATTTAAAACTATAATCAATCCAATCGATCAGTTTGATGTATGCGGCTTGATTGACGTCACTTTCAGGCGTTATCAGGAATCAGGCATACACATCGAATTGCATTCTATTGTCTTCAACTTCGTATTCGATTTCAATCCGCTCAATCAGTCTTATATAGATTGATTAACGTCACCTTTTGAGGCTGATCTCGTCTATATATAAACGTTATGCTATCGCAAATGCATTCTTTTGTCTGTTATATATTTTATTGCTGGCAAATTCATACGCAAATAATTGTTAACTACTTGCGATTATGCATGATTGATAATGATTGATATGGCTGATAACTATTTGCTTTACAGACAGTTCCTAACCTTGGTTCAGGCTAAGACATTAAAGCCCTTTATAGTTTTATTAGAACCTATTAAGATAAGATAGTGACAGCGAATCGAAACTGTGACGAATGGAAAAATGTAAAAAAAATGGGAATGAAATGAATTGAAGTGAATAAGTGCAGAGGCAGACATGGCCACACACACAGATAGAATGTCACGTGATATTTGAGGCTTTATTATTATATGTACATATATATGTATTCATACACATATATGTATATGTGTGTGGCAATTTACTTGACAGCGATAAGTGAGCTGCGTTGATTAAATTGTTTGAAATTGTTTGCTTAAAGCACACAAAGGGAGAGAGAGAGGGAGAGGGGGAGACAGAGAGAGAGAGAGAGAGTGGGCGAAGCAGAGATAGATTGAACACATCACGCAATGAGCGGCAACACGTGAATGGCTCGGGCGATGCATTATAACGCACACAAAACTGATAAAAATGGGGACAGTTCAATGCTATCCCCGCTTACAACGGAAGCAAGTCTTATCTGCCCCTCTCTCACAGAGTCAAACAAACCACAGAGTTCACACTTCATGAGCTCTGGCTTCAGCAATACAAAAATCTCTAACACACTTTAAGGCAGTTTTCTTTGAAAAACGTTGCATAAGTTGAGGCTCAGGTATACATTCTTATCACTCACCATGATATGAAACAGTTACGTAGGAGATTTGCACACAAGACTCGGTGCAGCCAATGGGCTTGAGAGTACGCACAAATTGGCCCTCCTGCAGGGTGTAGACATTAACAGTGCCATCCTGTGAATAGAACAAGAGATACATATGAGAAGAATGGATGAAGGATGATATCTTCTTGGTTCGGTTTCGGCTCTAAGTCAACTAGTCAGGTCTTCAATCAGATAATGTTATATATAGAGAGAAAGAAAATCTTTTTTTTACGAATACTTCGAGATCAGCCAACCAGACACTCATTAGCAAGCCCGTAACAAGATCAGTCCATAGTATTGTCATCTATACAAAGTCCATCTATCAGTTAGTCAGTCGCTCAATGAGTCAATCTTATATAAACTGTTGCACCCACCAGCGAGCCCGAGACAACGAGATCCAGCTCTGTGTAGACGGCCACACTGGACACCGCATCGTCATGTCCATAGAGCACAGTGAGCGGCTTTGGTGAGTAGCTATTCTGTGTATTCAGCTGCGTGATGGCCTGCAGATGGGATTGACCCGTCAAGGCGTGCACTGGAATGTTGTTGGGCGGGGCGGCGCTCTGCTGATTGCCCTGTATGCTCCACACAATGCAAGTGCAGTCGCGTGAGCCGGTGACCAGATACGAGCCGCAGTTATCCAAAGCCAGGCAGGTGATTATGTCCAAATGGCGGGTGACAGAGGCCAAGGTCTTGCCCTTGTTTAGGCTATAGACACGCAGTGCATTGTCCCATATGCCGCCGGCGTAAAGCAATTTGCCATCTGTGCTGACCGCAAAGTTCTGCGAATGGGGCGGCTGGGAGGGGTGGAAGGGGCCAAAGATGCGCTTGCGATTTCTGCAAAGAGAAGAATGGCATTAAGAATCGGATAGTGTTGGTTAGAGAAGTATGAACTCACTTAAGATTTGTCGTAGTTGCATCGATTTCCAGCAAAAATCCTTGCTCTTTGTCAAAGGACATCCACGAGTTGCAGCCCAGGATGCAACCTTTCGAAACGCTGACCAGCACATCGGGACTGAGCTGCAGAAAGGAGCGTGGCGGACTGCGAGGCGGACTTAAATAGACAATGGGATCCTTGGGCGTGGATAGCTCGCAGTAGTACTGCACCACTTTGTCCAGGAACTGTGTAAGATCGGGTCGCTTCAACTCCGAGCGCAGCAACTTCACAGCCGTCTCGTCCTGAGTGAGTCGACGGGGATGCGGCTCCCGTAGCAGCTGAGACGGCACTTGTCCAAAGTTGTTTATCATGCCTTCCACAGCTTCCCGTTCAATGGGATTGGTTATTTTGTCCAGATCCACGGCGCCCTCATAGGAGCAATAGTAGAAGACGTTTAGAGCCTCCACAGCTTTGGCGCCCTTCTGCTTGTAACCAAAGATCAAATCAATCCAGTGATGCAAATGCTGGCTAACATATTCCGACTCCAAGGCACGCCGATGTATGGCAATAAACTCCTCCGGCGTGGTAGCCCAAGCGGGCAAAATGACATCGTCGACTTTTTCCTTCGTAATTTGTAAATGTCCCAAGTCGAATCTGGAGTAGATTACATATTATGGATTAGCATAGCATCAAAATATTGTTGTATAAACGAACTCACTTGTTCATGTTCTTCAGAAACTCTGGAAAGTAAAAGAACTCGGGTATTAGCTCCTTGACATCATTTGGATTGTCCATTAATAGCTTCCATGTCTGCGGTATGGAGTGAAATTGTCGATCAGCCACATCGAAGCGGCCGCTCTGCAGCTCCACGTGCAACGAGGTGAAGGGCTCAACGCGCAGCAGATAGTGCAGCACGCCCGCCGAGTTGGAGTAATGTGTGCCATAGTGAAATTTCGGTATGGCACCAGAGGGATCTTCAAACGAATCGTATTTGCCGCGCACCTCAGCCTCATTCTTGGGATTGATCTATAGCGAGAGTTAAAAATAAAATCAATCTCATGCATATATGTGGCTAATATATGAAGAACTTACACATCCAATGGGCTTGGACAAGTCACGAAAGGAGCGCGGATCCGTTAGATCCAATACGTCGCTGGTGTAGTCAGCCAGAATCCAGGGGAAAACGGGATATTGACTAAGATCATTATAAGAGCGGCCTAAGGGACGGAAGCAAAGTATTTGAGTCAGGAGTGACAGATAGATCTAACTCAAGCCTTACCAGCTATGGTATTTAGGTACATTAGGTATTCAAAATTGGATATTTCACGATTGACCCAACGCTGAGTGAGACCCGACGCGCGCAGCAGCTCAGGCGGCGAACGTCCAGAGCCATAGAGTATGTTCGGCAAGGGTAAACCAACAATCTTAGTAAACACCTTGTTACGGGTCTAAATAGAAAACAAAAATGATAAGTGTGTAAAGATTCAAGTGAAAAAGATCCATTAAAGATTACCTTAGTTGTAAAGTTAAGAAAATAGCTTGTCTGATCTATCAGAAAGATCTCCAAGGCGCTGCGTCGCAGATTATACTTGCGCAGATGAACTTCACGTATTTTATTAATGGAAAACCTGATGGGCAACAATCAAAATTAAACTCGAGGTAAGATAACGAAGCATTTGGAGTTCAGGCGTACCTAAAATCATGCTTGGAGCCATCCTCCAATGGGGGACTCATGTCCACAAACGTGAAGACGCTCTGATTGACTTCAATGCGACCCTTGACCTTGGTCATAAGCGTGATCAGCTCACAATCCTGAGACATGACCAGCTTCTCCAGTGCCGTATCCTGCTGCGATTGCGTGTCAATTAACTGCCGCAGCTCCTCCTCTAGCTGGGAGCTTTCGTCATCGGCCAGAAAATCTCGCACCACAGCATTTTTGATAGTGGAATCGAATTCGGATATTTCTCTAAACGGGAAAGAGTTGAAGTCAAATGTGAACAGGTCTAAGGCTCACACTTACTTTGTGTCGTAAGCACTGGTCGCATTGTCCCGCAAATTGGCTGCGTTCTCGTGCTTATTGGGATACAGCTGCGGCTCCAGCTTGAGGCGCATGCGTGCCACATTCTCGTGTGGTGACAGTTTCCAAAACTCTTCACCAATCTCGCTGAAAGATACAAGAGTAAAGGAAATTTAAATCAACAAGTTGACTTAGAGATGCGCTCCTTGCACTTCCAGTTAGTGATGCGCAAATACATTAAAGTGAGCTTGGAGCAGGATCTGCTTGACTAATCGATAAGTTTTGGTATTTTTTAAGCACTTAATAAGCTGGAGCAACTGATAATAGCTGTTAACTATATCAGCTTTATCTAATGGTAAATAAATGTAATAAAAAGCATAAATTCAATTTTGGAATCACAAATTTATTTAGGTAATTTATTTAATTTTGGGTTTTGCGATGAAAGTTATTCGTTTAGCACGACAATGATTAATCGAATATGTACAAATGAAAATCCTTTGTCAAACTGTTATACACTACATTTACACAAAGGCGCAAGCAAGACGAGACGCCTCTAAAGTCCTTCGCTTCCTTTAGACTACGATGGGTCCGGCCAGGGTCTTGGCGAGCAGGGGAGCTGGTGCCGCGACAACGGGCGCTGGCGCCGCGAAAGTCTTCAGCTTGGCAACAACTGGAGCAACGGGGGCAACGGGTGCCACCACGGGCACATCCTTCTGGACGACGGCATTGAAGCCATTGATGGAATCGGCATAGTAGGTGACAATGCGACGCGAGCCGTCAGCCTCAATCAGAGAGTAGGAGCCACGAACGACATCACCATCACGAGACTCCTCCTGAGTCTTGGAGTCGCCGGTAATCGTATCCTGGACATCGTAGGCGAATTTGTACTGTGGGTGGGCATCGACGATCTCTGTGGCAACGGGAGCAGCAACGGGAGCGGCCAATGGAGCGGCAACGGGAGCAGCCAGAGGGGCGGCAACGGGAGCAGCGACTGGAGCGGCAAGAGGAGCAGCAACTGGAGCAGCCAGAGGAGCAGCGAAACGAGCAGCCAGAGGGGCAGCAATTGGAGCAGCGTAACGGGCAGCCAATGGTGCAGCAGCCAGAGGGGCGGCAACTGGAGCAGCGGCGAAGGTCTTGGCAACCAGAGGAGAGGAGTAGGCCAGAGGAGCTCCGTAGGCAGCAGGAGCTAGACCAAGAGGTGCCGAATAGGCAGCTGGTGCAGCAAGGCCCAGCGGTGCAGAGTAAGCAGCGGGAGCGGCATAACGCAGAGCTGGCGATGCAAAGTATGGACTAGCGGCCAGTGGGGCAGCAAAGTCCGCCTGAGCGGAGAGCGCCAGAGTGGAAAGGACTGCAACAACCTGCAAAGCGAATGCAAACACTTGAGTATCCAATTCGGCATCCAATTTGAATCCAATTGGTATCCAGGCAATTGTGTGGCCAATTGGCTCAGCTGTTAGCTTACCGTCAAAGGATTCATTGTGCGGCTTGGGGGTTAGGATTGATTGTCACCGTCGGTTAACGAAAATGAACTGACATGCCATTACCAAAAACTCGACGACTTTTATACAATTCGCGAAATTTGCATTTGCCGTGGCCAGCTAGCTGAATGGATGGTACTGTGGCGTACCAATTGCGTAGCCGAGCCACCGCACCACCCGCTACTCGTTGCACATCAGCAGCTACCGACGCTTGGCAGCGTCTGCCGTCTTCTTGATCCAAATTCGTGGCACGTCCCACAAATTTTTCTGTCCAAGTTTTCAATTTCAGTTCGAACCCTGCTCCGAATCCGAGTCCATGGCTACGAAAGTAAGTTTTTTGTGTTTTTTGGTAATTGTCATGCAGCTGCCATTCAATGGCAATACTTTAATTTTCCTTTACACCCAAAAATTTAATCAACACATCGCCGAAATAGATCGTATACCGGAATGTTGCGTCTTATCCATTAATCAATAAGTGACTTTAGCTGAGAAACTGCTCAAATAATATGCGTATCTAATTAGTCGATAGTCGGTAGACGATAAGCGATTATTTTCTAATTGCTTAAATACAGCCAATCAAAACATTCAGCTAGAAGAGCCATAATGGAGATGCCCAAGAGAGCGTTAAGCTAAGATTAAGCTACATCTAATCTTAGGCCAATCATAACTTCGACTATCCATCATCGATAATCGATAATCGTTTATTGACCAAAGATTGCTAATCAAGTCACTCAACTGGAAAGTTTCAATTAGAAATGCTAATGGAGTACGCCGCAGACAGTTTCTCTTACGTGATCGAAACTGGTTGATAATAATCATTAAAAAAAAAAAAAGTAACAAAACTAATAAATAGCCAACAGTAGCCCGTAGACTACGCCGTAGATCTTGTAACCCACTTCCAATCGGCTACCCCTGCAGATTCGACCCAATTCCAAACTGTGTGAAGCGTGACTCGTTTGCCAAGCCAAAAGGCGACCTTGCGACTGCGACGCGTTGGCAAACTTGGCAGCACTTGGTGCGCTCGTTCGGCCGCTTGGTCACACTGAAAAGGCAGAGTTAACTGTTAACGGTTAACGAGTTAACGCTTGTCACCGGAAACTGACAGCAAAAAACTAAACTAAACTAAACTAAACTCTAAACTAAACTCTAAACTAGTCGCAAGCTGCCTTAAAAGGCTTCGCTGCGCTGATCTGCGCTCCACAACCCGGCCAGACTTTTACTTGTCAAAATTTGTAGTACATAAATTGCGATAAATGCACAGAAATTGCATCAG